GCCCTGACCCGAGCCACCGGCAGGGACAGGGAGGGGGACACTGCGGAACAAATAACAGTATTTGGGGGAACAAATGGTGGGGGACGAGGAGGGGCATGGTGGGATCTGCGGGGGAAGAGCGAAGACTTGCTCTTAGTGGGGCAACTCAGGTGCAAGGTGAATTTTGAAGGATATTGTGTAGGGACAAAGGAGGATACTGGTGGGGGGGACTTTGGGGATGCTGGTAAGACAGGGACAGGCATGCCAGGGATACTCAGAGCAACACCAAGAGATGCAGAGGGACACTTAGGGAGGACGCAGGGTTAGGGAGGGACATTTAGGGGCAACACAAGGAGACACGCTGGAAAAATATCAGGGCACAAGGAAAGAGACTGTGGAAGATATTAAGGGGGCAAGAAGGGACACTGGAGAAGACAGTGGGCATGGCACCAAGGAGAAAAGAGGGAGCACTGGGCACAAGACAGCTCACCAGCAATACCCCCATGGCCCAGTGCCACTACTCCCTGTTCTGCCCCTTTGCTCTCCACCTTTAGGTGCTTTAGGAACACCAGCGCAGCCCTTGCACGTGAATGGCGAGGGGTCACAAATAACAGGCTGTGTCCTTGTTTTGGGAGACGCACACAGCCCTCAGTGAGGGGACAGAGCGGGGACACAGTGGCAATCAGCCATCCTTTCCCTGCTGGGTGAGCGGTCGGCTGTTCCTGGGAGATTAAATATAGCCACTATCATCATCTTGCCTGCAGGATTCAGATGATGGTTCCCCTTATTTTTCAAAAACATGCGGGTGCAGCCACCTGGTGCCCATCAACATGCCATGCTGGGCTCAGAGGTGAACCAAACCTTCCAGTGGTACAGTATAGCCTTAAAATAAACAGAGAGCCCCTCTCAATAACCTCTGTGCACCCTGGGTGTCCAGGGCCATGAAAACCACCAGCCAGGGACACAGAGAAGTATGCATCAATAAAACATCAATATAGATACATAAATACAAATAGAAAAACAGAATTTAAATAAAAGGAATAGTAGAAATTGAGATAATAGAAATAGAATTATTGGATTGTTTGGGCTGGAAGGGACCTTAAAGATCACCCAGTTCCAATTTTCCTGCCATGAGCAAGGACACTTCCACTAAACCAACTTGCTCAGAGCCCCATCAAGCCTGGCCTTAAACACTTTCAGGGACAAGGCATCCACAACTTCTCTGGGCAACCCATTCCAGGGCCTCATCACACTCACAGTAAAGAATTTATTCCTAATACCTAAACTTTCCCTCTTTCACTTCAGAGCCATTCCCCCTTGTCCCATCACTACGTTTAGATAGAAATAGAAGTCTTTGGTAGGTGCTCCTGTGTTATGTGAAGACCTGGCCTGGGAGAAGACATTCAGGCCCCTGATGCTTTCCCACAGATGGAAGGACCAAGTGCATCTCCTTGAGCCTTCCTCCCTGATGGAGTTTCTTCACATGCTCTGTTCCATTTGGGCCGTGGGAAAGGTTCTCAGCAGCTGCAAACCTTTTGATTTAATTAGGAGCAAACTGCCCCTAATTGTGGAGAGGAATACCCACTCTCCTGCCTCCCTTGGGGTTTGCTTCTGCTTAAGACCTAATACATAAATGGCTCTCCATCCCATCTGGAGCGCACGGGCAGGGAGCTCTGGTGGCCACTGTACAACACTTGGAGCGGCCGAAGGACCTCTCATTCTCCCTATCCCGGAATAAACCGCTGGCGCTGGCTGCCCGCACGTAGGCAAAGCCAGGCACACAGATAAGGCACCATCTGCTTTTATTTGCACCCAAGCTGGTAACCGTCGCGAGCGGCTCGCCCACGCGCCAGGCTCCCAGGGGAGGCGAGGAGGGTTTAGGAATTGGCCCCCAGGGTTGGCACACACAGCACCACGGGCTGCCTGCAGAGCCTCCAGCCCAAAAACACGGGCAGCGATTATCAACCCTGTGCAGAGCTGGGGAGGCAAAGGCGGGGGGGGACAGGTGGCAGGGAGGGACACGGCAGATGCTTCACCTAACTTTGGCCACCTTAGGGGTCTAATCTCAACCCTTCACCTGGGCAGCTCCTGCAGCTGATCCGGGCTGCTCATCCTCCTCCGGCGGGTGCCGCTGCTGGCAAACAAACACGCTCTCCCCCGTGCATGGAGGTTCTGGCCCTTTCATCCAGACTAGATCCCTAATTTTTCGCCACTCAAACTAAGGGGAAGATCCTGTGCCCCCAGGTGACTCACTGGAGGGAAGGCACACAGGTGGTCACGGCTCACAGGCTGCTGCTGGCTTTGCACATGGGGGTAACCTGGTCAAAGCAAGCCCCCAAGCACCCCACCTGATATTGGAATGCACCCCTTGAACCTCTCACTGTTTTGACCATCCGTCTTTAACGTGAACTGGTCGGGACTGAGAGGATGAGAGGATTTTCCAGACCCTGGCAAGATGTCAGGCCTGGAGGTGGAAGGCAGATGCTGCCAAGCAATGCAACCCCTGCTGCCTCTGGGAAGCAGGTCCAGCACTTCTGGCACCCTACTGCAGGCAGCACAGGGAACTCATCCAGAGGAAAGAGTTATTCCCATGGGCACATGTATCACCACGGCCATCTTGGGTTCATGCCTGTATTTTTGGCCACAGGAACCTGCCACCATGCCCAGGATGGGGTGGGTTACCCCCTGCACCCACTTTTCTCCTCAGAATTCCTACCCAACCACTCCAGGCCTCCTGAACCTCCCCCTTCTGGCATTATTCTGCAGATATTGGGAAATCCCACATCTCCAACAAACCTCAGAGGACAGAGCCTGGCAGAAGAATCCTCTCTGTAATCCTGTTTACCTTCTCCTCCCTGTCTGCACTGAGTTCAACCAGACCCCATGGGGATTTACACATTTCCAGCTGCAGATTTTGTCTTAAATGGTCAAATCATGTCCACTGTGGATGTGCAACAGATCCTTCGATTAACAGCCCCTGCCTTGTAGGGGCAGGACAGCTGTTCACAGACCTTTGAGAGCACCAGGGCACTTCTGGCAATAAATGTCAGAGATAACATTTCATTTTACCCTGTTTCCATTTCAGAGAGACTCAAAATCCCCACCAGCGGGACTTAGTCTTGGTGGTACTCTGATCCAAGTGCTTCTGTGCTTTTTTAAGAGCAAAACAGGGAAACTAGCTGAGGTTCCAGCTGTGCTCAACAGAGTTTCAGCTCCGAGTCCCCGGTGTACAATGCAGTGTGGTCAGCCCAGCATCAAGCCACTCAGTCTGGCCATTTCTAGGGGCAGAGCAGGCTTGAAGGATACAAATAAATGGCAAAGGGACATTGTCCCTGCCTGCTGGACTGATTGCCACTGTTTTAAAAGATTTATGGGCTGTTTTTTAAGGGCAAACTCCTTATGTGAGCTGGGGTGCTGGCTCCTATGGTGATGCACAGCTGTGGGTTTTCCCTGTGCTTGAGGCTGGGATGTTTCTCACAGCCACAATCCAGCTGCAAGCAAGTGGATGAGGTACAAGCAGCGCTTTGGGATGTTTTTTTGGGCTCTGCCAGCCATCATGCCCGTCACCTATGGCTGTTTTGGTCATCTCCTCTCCTGCCCACTCTTCCCCCAGCTGGCTGCCCTGCTCCCAGGAGATAAGGATGTGGAGATGGCGGGGTGAGCGTATCACCCCGACACAGGCGAGACAGGGTCTGCCTGATTAACTCTGTGCCAATTTTGGAAGTAGCGTCCCCCATCACCCCGGGATGAGGGGATGATCCTACCCTGCTGGGGGCTGATCTGCAGCCACAGAGCCTCGAGGAGGGGCAGCTCCATCACATGTCAGGGGCACACACATTTCGCCTGTGCTTACGTCACACGTTTATCAGGCTGAGCAGCCCTCGACAGAAAGGCAGAAAAAAACAACACACCACCCCAACAAACCAACCCAAACACAAGATACCAAACTCTTCGGGGAAGGGACGGGTGAGCAGTGTGCAGTTCACCCTTGCTTACCCTCTGCTTGCCCCCAGTGCCCCACTTTTGGGAGTTTCCTCCCCCAAGAGCAGGTACAACTATGCAGACTGTTTGGTTATTTTTTCTAAAAAACACACATGGCCAACAGCACTGAGCCCTGAACCCTTTTCCCCACTTTCTCTTTTGGCTCCTAGAAATTCCCATGGCTAGATCAAGCTCTGCAGCCTGGAAACCAACTGCCCTGAGCTGTTCTCTCACCTCTTGCCAGCCCAGCCCCACAAATGCCAAATGCTCGCCCCATTCCAAATTCAATGGCAACAGCCATGTCCTGCTGGGAGGCAGAGGGAAAAGCCTGGACCTTGGGCAGCACAGGGACAGAAGGGTTTCTAGGCTAGAGGCAGGAGGCCAAAACGATCAACAGTGAGCTCTGGTGCTTGACAGGCGTAGTAGGGAGCTGAGCTCACTGCTTGGACTCTTGCACCATCCACTGGGTTGCCCAGAGGCCTCGTGCATGTCACTAAAATCTGACACCAAATTCTACCAGAATTTGTGACTAACAAAGTGATCTGCCTTGCCTAAGGAAAGTAATTCCTGCAGCACTTCCCAAGGGAAGGGCAGGCCTGCACCCTCTTATCCTAGGGGATGCCAATACCATGGCAAGACGATCACATCCTGAGCAAAAATGTGCCATCCTAATACCCCTCATTTCAGCTGCCACCACATTCTTACACCCTGCTTCCATTCCCAGGTCTCACAGTACTCTAGTCTCTCAGCCAACACATCTGTCACCTCCACCCAAAAATCCTCCTTGACCCCTTTGTCCTTCCTTCTGCAGATGCTGCCTCCAGCCCCAGCATGTGACCACAATTAGATCTCTTCTGTAATTGCCAGCACCCTCTCTGTAGAACAACAGCTCCTGTTCGTATTGGGATGGGGCTGAATGAGTAGTAGTCACCCCCAGGTCCTCCATCCTGACAAAAAAGCAACATGCTTCACACAAAAAACAAGAGGAAGAAAGCATTTTAGATCTCTATCATTTCCCCAGGATCTCTATATACTGTTGATTCTGCCAGCAATTTGCAGTGCCATGTGCCCTTCCAATACTGGATTTACTAAATGCAGCCCAGGCTCAGCTCTTCCTCCATGAGGCGCAGGGTCCACGTGAAATTTTGGGAGCAGATTATTTCCCCCCTCAAATCCAAAGGTGGGGCAAACTACTGGATAACAGCACTGCAAGGCTCCTCTCACTCTCTGGCCAGGGGTGCTCCTGCTGCTTTCCCTCACCAAATCCTGAAGAAAGGAAGCAGCCCACACACACACACACACACACACCCCTCTCACCACTGGATTAGGGCCACATGGCAAGTCTTCTTCTCAAGAAACACATTTTTCTCAGCAAAAGGGGAAGATTTTATTAATTTAAAAGTTGAAGGGCACAGCAGAGCAGCAGCAGCTGCCACTTTGGGGAGGTTGGCTCGGGCGGGTGCAGTAGCAGCCTCACAGCTCCTCTTCCCCAGAAAGGAGAAGCCCCGTGGCTCTGGGCTCCTGCCAGTTCAGGTTCTTGCAGGAGCCAAAAGGGCAGTCACGGAGAGAGAGCTCGATCATGTGGACTCTTGCCAAGGTGTCCTCTTTCAACCATCTCAGGCAAGCACATCCATGGCAGATCGCCCCGGCGGCTCCCTCCTATGGCTTGCGTGTCTTCTCCGCGGGTCCCTGGGGGTGGCACGGGGAGGGGGAGCGTGGTCCTTGCCCTACATCCCAGGGGGACCGTGGAGACATTTGGAAGAGAGGGAATATGTGCCGAAGGTGGCTGTGTGTGGCCAGGAGAAACAGGGCTAGGAAAGGGGGGGAAAAAAAACAGGTTCTCTTTTTCAGGTTAGAAAAATGCTGGTGATGTGGTAAAAGTTTTCCTCCTCCTCTTCCCCTTCTTTCCACGGGGGAAAAAATTCCTCTATAAAATATAATTTTCACATATAAAATCCTGAAGAAGGTGCATGTAAGGAGCCAGTCCAAACAATGTGCTCAGGTATGCAGGCAAAAAGGGTTTCATCAAAAACAGCTTTGGGAGGGGAAAGAGGAGGTTGGGGGTGTGTGGGATTCCTTGCCAAGGTGGTAATGGGTGGGGATTCAACCTCCCTCTCCTCACAGGTGAGGAATGGAGCAAATACAAAACAAGAACAGATAACAAATGTAGAGCAGACCTAGAGAGAGACAAAACCAGAAATGGTTTAGAAAGATTCCAGGGAGCGTAGAAATGCTATCCCCTCAGCTCCCTGGAGAGATGGCTGGCTGGTGCCCCGCTACAGACCCACTCATCTCAGCACCCATCAGCGAGCACTGGTGGAGCAGGGTGAGCCCCATCCAAGCAAGAAGCAGGAGCACTCTGGACAACAGGATGCCCTCGTTCCTGTCACCCTGCTCGCCCCCATCGGTGGCAGAGATGCCTGCAGGTGAACTCCAGGGAGATGGGCTGGGTCTAGTCGGTCCTGCTTTCATGCAGACCTAAAATTATCGTGCTGTGATAGGGAAACCACTTCAAAGGTGAAGGGAGCAGAGCCACTGCCTACACAGGGAAAGTGTAACTTCCCACGCTGTCACCCCAGCCACAGGGCAAAGGCCAGCACTTGCCTGGCTCCCACAGGCAGCCTGGCTGAGCAGTGATTGGTGCTGGCTGCATCAAGAGCACCATGAAAGGGGGGCTGGGGCCCTCGGGAGAACATCAGGAACAACAGGAGGGCCAGCAGTGCCGGCCAAGAGGATGCGAGAAGCAGAGAAGGATGAGTTTAAGCCTTAAGTTTCAAAACTGAGTGGAGCGGGAGAAACTGGCAGCTTCCACGCCCCTGCAGCAGCCAGCCTCAGCCACCTGCACCCACAGGGGACATCCCAGCTTCCCCAGGCTCACCGCTACTTGCTGTTGCACAGCGACTCCTTCTCCTGCAGAGCCGCCATGGCCAGGCGCAGGTGCTCCTTCAGCTGCTCGATCTCTCGCTCCGAGCGCACCTTGATGTGATTCAGCTCTGCATAGACATCTTGGTATTTCCCTGAGGCGAATCTCTTGTCCTGCCAGGGGAGGGAGAGGGGTAAGGCAGGTTGCAGGGCTGATTTTAGGGAGGGTGGCAGCAAGGTGAGCCCAGCAGAAGAGTCAGCAGGTGAGGAGGGGAGAGCCAGCCCTGGGTTTGAAGCCCGTCCCAATCTGGACCAGGCAGAAACCATTCAGAAGAGGAGCATGGAGGTATCACTTTGCAAACACCAAGCCAGGGAAGAATGCAGAGACACTGGTCCCACAGCAGCAGGGTTGAGGAGGTGATGTGGGCTTTACCACAGCTCGTGTGCATGTGGGGCAGCCACATGGGAAACATAACCCCACCAGGAATGCAGGCCATTGGGAGAGCTGGGTGCAGCTGCTTATATGGCCAAAAACTAATGTAAGTTATAAACTCCTGGAGCATCACTGAATTCCAAAGCCTCTTTCAGGCTCCCCTTTGGCAGAGGTCTTTGAAAATTCCTCTGAAGGAGCTGCTGCCAGTGGAGGGAGCAGCACACCCAGAAACGGTGCCCAAGGAAACACATCCACTCAGAAAGGGGACAACAAGAGGAAGCAGGATGCCAGGCAGCCTTCATCCAGATTTTCCACTTGCAGAAGGCAGCCTTGTCCATGCTTATGTGTGCATACATCTGGGCAAAGCAGCAGCTAAGTCTCTGTGACTTTTCCCTTGTACAAGGTCGGTCTATGCCAGTCCGTGCTGTTGGAGCTGCTATGTGCTCTGCAGTCAGCAAGGACAAGCAGTACAGGTGACAAGAGGGTTTGTCTCGATCAAACCCAGCCAAACCCTGCTGATATGCAGCCCTGCTGCTTCCCTCCCTTCCCTCTCCTGCTCTCCCCCAGTTGCTCCCAGAAAACACTGACCTTTTGCATCATCTGCAGCTCCTCCCGGAGGCACTGCACCTCCTTCTTTACGTACTGGAGCTCATTCTCCTTCACCCGCAGCAGCACCTGGGCCAGAGAAGGGGGAGAGGAACCAGAGGTGACTCAAGAGCCACCGCCTCGGAAAGGCCGGCAGGCCCTGCCGCAAGCGCGGCGGTGGAAAAGGAAGGAAGGGCCAGAAGGGCTGGGGCAGGAAACGGCGCAAGCAGCCTGAGAGAGCGGCGGAGGAAAGGCTTGCGTTCTGCTTCCTGCACCGCTCCATTCCTCACCCCACCTCCCACTTGCTCCAAGCCAAAGCCATCAAGAGGAGAAGACCCCCGGGACGGGAGGGGATGGAGGCAGCGGGGCAGCCAGGGGGAGCCTCGTACCTCCAGCTCGCAGGAACTCCGCTCGTTGTTGTGCGAAGCGCGGTCCCCAGAGCCCCGCGATGAAATAAAGCTCCGCAGCTTCCCGATCTCATCCGAGAGGCGGGTCTGCAGCTCCTGCAGGCAAAGCCAAAAGACGTCAGAGTAGCCATGGCACAGATCTCTTACTGTCCTGACCACTCCATCTTCATGGCAGCCCTTGTTCAGCTTAGAGACCACGTTGTAACCCCCCGTCCACAGGTAATGGCATCCAGCAGAATACACTCGCCATTTATAACACCACAGTTAAGACAGCCTCTAAATCTTTTTCTTTCTGATGATACAATCTCAGAAGGGGAGAAATATGAACAAATAAGGGAGCTTTAACAGAGGGGCTGGGCTGTGTGAGGAAGGAACATGCTTCAGTGCTCCTCTCCGCTGGTAGGAAAGCCCTTCTCTTGCCTGATTTTTCTGGAGGAGGTCCTTCCCCTCCCGCTGACAGCGCTCCAATATCTGCTCCCGCTCTTCCGCCTTCTGGGTGAGCTCCCCAATTTCCAGGCACTTTTGGGAATACTGCTCAGAAAGCACCTGCAGTTCCCGCTTCAGTGACTCCACGTCCAACCTGCCGAAGAGGCACCAGCTCATCGCTGCCCCAAAACCCTTGCCAGCTCCTGGCCCCTGGCATTGACTTCCCCCTTGCCGTGGCCAACCTCATGTACAGGAGTACACTCATGTACCATGGTGCTTCTTGGAGCCCCGAGCCATGCAGAAGAAATGGAGCAGCTTTCCATAAAGAAATTAGAGGGGAAATAGCTATAGGTGTGAGGGAGGTGCTATAGGGAAAAGAGTCAAGCAAGGGACAAACCTCCCTGCCCCACAGCTGCAGTAGCCCTGGGAGCCACTACTGGGCACCCACTAGCCCTGAGGAGGGAGCTGGAGAAGTGGCAGGAGGAAAAGCTCAGGGCTAGAGCTGAAAATGGGGTGTGGTAACAGCAGCACAAGGCGGCATCATTGGACAAGAGGACTGAGAGAGATCCTTTCTTACTGGTGCTGCTTCTGGAGGGCTTCTGGGAGTGAGCTGCATTGCTGGAAGCTCCGAGTCCTGCCCAGCTCCTTATTCATCTCCTCCCGGTGGGCTTTCTTCAGTGCCTCAATGGCTGCAGAGGGGGACAATGAGAAATAGGGGATCAGGCTGTGCCAGCTTCATGGAAAACACACCAGAGAACTGGCTAAGCTCTCGCCACTGCAGGCTCCCACATTCGTCTCTGCAGACTCCCCCTCTTTCTCTTCTTCCCTCGGGGTATTCCCTACCATCTCCATGCTCCAGGATCATCATGCTGCCAAGGGGACTGACACAGGACACTGTGGGAGCTCTCTACCACTTCTTGCCCACCTACAAGAAAGTGCTGGGCCCCTCCCAGCCATCCACAGAAGCATGACCCTGTTTCCTTCAGTATCTTTACCACTCCACCAGCGCCACAGGAGCGAAAGCACCAAAGCTCGTGCTCCAAGGAGCGCCAGCCTCACACCAGTACAGTCCACAGTGTGGCTCCAGATGACTGGGACGACTGGCTTCTGGCAAAAGACACTGGGAAAAGGCAGGAGGGACCCAGCTGAGCAGGGGCACAGCCTGGTGTTCGCTCTGACCTGCTGCCGTTGCCGCTGCCTCCTCTGCCAGGAGCCGCTCCTTCTCCTGCCGCAGCCGCTCCAGCTCCCGCTGGTGGTGCCGCTGCAGCTCCTCCATCACTTGCTGGTGGGATGACTCCATCTCAGCCAGGCTGCGCTCGCAGGCCTCCTGTTGTGAGGAGGAAAGGAGGGCTGAGAGACCAGGAGGGAAGAAGGAAGGGCTTGGGCCAGGACAGGCACCTGGCTGCAAGTCCAGGGACGTTTTGAAAGAAGCAAGACTACTTCTTTCCAGGAGGGTCTTTTCCTTCTGAAAGTGAAGTGGTGCTTTAATCACTGAACACAACCATTTGAAGGGGACACACATCTTTGCAACCCCACTTTGTGCTTTACAGAAGAAGAACGTTCCTCTAGCTCTTAAAACTAAAACAGCAAGACAGGAACAACTCTCTTGGTCCAAGAGCTGGGGATAACATGCCCGACACCACAGTCCCAACCCACTGCCTGGCTGGAAGGGATCAACAGTGAGAACTGCATCTCAGTATCTGCCTTTTAAATGAAGCAGTGTCCCTGGAATCAATGGAAACAGAGCCTCCTCTCCTGAAAAGTGACACCCTGCACTACCCTGTGACACGATGGAGGTTGCCAAAGAGCCCTCCCTACAGCCTAATGATTAGGGATCCTCCTCACACAGCTCTCCCTCCTTTCTGATGGCTCTGAGACCAAGGGAATGGTTCTTTCCATGCTGAGTGCTATGGTTAACTCGAGTCAGAGCAAAGCAAAGAGCTTCCCCCTCTGGATGCTGGCAGCACCTCCCTGAGCTCTCAGGAAGGATTTGTTCACCAACAAACTGTGCCATTATGATTAATAAGCCTGGGCCTCAAAGACAGCAGAGAGCTAGGAAGTCATCACATCCCCCAACAGCTCCTTGCCATCCCATTCCTTCCCCACTAAGGACTAAGGCTCATACAAAAGACACTGGAACATTCACACTGTTGTGTGAATGCAAACCCTTCCTGGCTACTCCTTTCTGCTGTGATGAGGGAAGCTGGGAAGCTTCACAGAACAACAGAGGAAAAGGTGAAGAATCAGTTTGGTGAACTACCCACAGACCAGCTGCAACCCTTGGCAAACAGAGAGAGCGAATCCTTTGGGGAAAAGCCAAGTTTGGTCTCAGATGTGAAATGCTGAGCAAAGTTATTAGGAAGATAAGGAAGTTCCTCCCCACTGCTTTTGCTTTTCTTTTTGACCATAAAGAGGCCTGTAAGCTATAAATATTAAATCACGATAACACAGAGACTGGTAAGTGTCTGAGCTGAGTGCTACAGGACTTGTGGGTTTCTTTATCTGTGCTAGGTACAGCCAGCCCTGTGGAACAGACTTCACCAGCCCCAACTTCCTGCCCTGCCAACCCCCTCTGCCCCGGTATCTTCCACCACGTAAGGCCCATCCTGAAAGCCCCACTCTATGGTCGAACGGCAGCCTCCACACAGGAAATCCCAGCGGGATGTGACCCTGCTTGTTTTGGATGAGTCCACAAGAGGGGAAAATAAATAAACAAAGAGAAGTGAGAGGATGAAGCATGAGCAAATTCTACTTTGCTGGCTCTCCCACGTGCTGTCCCAGCAAATGAATGGGCTGTGCTGTCAAAGTGACCTCCAGGGCTCGGGCTGTCCCCAGGGACTGACTGACTGCTTTTAACAAGACAGCCGGGAGCCCCAGTTAGCAAGAACCACATGTGGTGAGCAGCAAACCACCAGGGAATGACCAGAGGCTCAGCAGGAAGCTGCTGACCCGCTCCTGACCTGGGGGATGGCTCACCCCCACAGCCCGGGACAGCACTGTGCCCACATGCAAAGCACAACACAGATCCTGCACCTCTCCCCAAATTATCCTTCTCTCTCTTTATAACCCTGGCCCCTTTAAGGCCAGACAACATGCACCAGCCTTTATGTAATTAACATTGATTAGAAATGGGCCCAGTTGGGGTCACCATGGCAACCCAATGATTAGCGATACCTGCCCGGCAATAAGCTGCGTGCCAGCATTTCCCAGTTTGGTCCTGGGACTGACCCCCACCAAGGCCCAGTCAGGTCAGGCACTCTACTCACCTGTGAGATGTACCCTCGGGGCACGTGGCTGTCCCCCTGGGATTTTGCTGCCTCCCGAAGGCTCTCATTTCTGGCCTGGCAGGACTCCAGCTGTGCCCGCAGTGACTGGATCTGTGCCAGGGAGGACAGAGAAAGATGGTCAGCCAAGGGTGGAAAAGTGCCACGGACCAATGTGCCACATCCAAACCCTGGGCTTAGGGATGGTGAGGACAACACACGGCCAAAGGAGGCCTCTGCTTCCCCAGCAGCCTGCCAAGAGACCAAACTGGCAAAGCCAGCCCCAGCCTGGTTAGTGCCAGTAAAGAAGGGAGGAGACATTCCAGCTTTCAGTGGTGGATCCGTGCCGGAGGAAACCACCACTGCATGGCTTCTTTCAAAGGCCAGCAGGTGAAGCCCTTGTAGGCTTGGGAATAGCCAGGAAAGAAAGGCTGTGAACGTGCTCCCATGAAACACGGACTCCACACAAGTAGTGCCACCAAATAAATCATCCTGGACCAAAACATGCTCTGGGGAACCTTTGCAGACACGTGAGAGCTGGCTTCTAGCTTTGCATTAGTAGGTTCCAAAAGCTTCCATCCACTCCAGGAGCCAGAAAGAACAAACATCTCCCTGCACCTCTGCCTTGCTCTTCTGCAGAGCCACAAGTACCACATAAAGGGGCCACCAGAATCCCAGTTTCACAGAGGAGAGGTGCTCTTACCTCCTTTTTCAGCGCCTCATTGGTGTCTCCCTGGCCCCCCTTGCTTTGGTTCAGCAGCGTTGTCAAGGGCACCCGCCGCAAGTCCTTCAAGGGCAGGCGCTCCAGCTCCAGCCACTTCTTCTCTATCTCCTCATTCAGACGGATCCGCTGGTCCTCCGAAAGCGGAGGAGCGGGGAGGTCCTGCTCCCCAGCCTTGTGGGAAGGCTCTCCTGCGGGGCCATCGCTGTTTGGGACCCTGCCATCGGGCGTCTCGAACCATTTCCGCCTCTCCTCTGAACGGACGGCCAGATCCCGCTCCAGCTCCTCGTACTTGGGAGTTCGGTCAGAGATCCTCAAGCTCCCTTTTGTCCTCTGCAGGGACCCCTGATTTCCAGGGTCTTGTGGCAAGGGGGACAGCTCCACATAGTCAAAGGCATGGCGCTGCCCATCTGCCTTCCAGTGACTGCCCTTGGAGTTCCCCTCGGAGCTCGAGCCTGGCCGCTGCTGCTCCTCCGTCCGGAGTGCGCCTTTCTGGGGAACGCAGTTACGGAAGTTCTCCTTGTCACAGTCAGGGAGCCTGAAAGCAGAGCAGGAACTGGTGGACGAGAGGCACCATGTGGGAAAGGATGCCAGCAGAAGCACTGCCAACTGCTCAAGGCTCAGACCCTCACTCAGCCCAGCCTTACAAAACGCCACTCTGAGTGCAGAGCTGCGCCTGTAGCATCCCATCCCCCAGGGAAATGGATTTCTTCAGCAAGGATGCACCCTGGTTCCAGCTATGCTGGTGGAGAAACCAGTCTAAACTAATGTGGTGAGGTAAAAAGAAAGGGAGGCTGTCATCATCATCAGGTTCTCAACCCCTGTCACTGGCTGGTATAACCAAGCCACTTTCAGAAGGAGCAGAGTGCTGGGCTAATCTGGGAGTGGTGAGACTTCCAGAGGGGCCTTCCTTGCGCCTGCCAGTCAGGGTAGAGGGACAGCAAGGTTCAAGAGGACAAGCAGTACTGAGCAGCTCTTACTTGGTGACGTCTGGAGCGCTGACTGGGCGCACATTCTTCCTCAGGGCCTCGATCCAGTTGCGCCGGATACCAGAGGTCATCGCTGACAGGGTGAAGACGGCATCTTTTGTCTGCAACAGGGAGGTGACAGAGGCCCTCTCAGCACCCAGTGGATGTGCAGCAGCTCCCTCTTGCTCCCTGAGACCCACATACATACACTAGTGCTGGGCTGTTTAGAAAGGCCACCCTCTGTCTCAGGCTCTGGGGACAGGTGGAGGGGTGGGAGGGGTGTTTCAGGGGGATCCTTCATGAGACCCTCTCCAAGCAAAGGCAAAAGAAACCTTGCTGGCACACTGGGCAGAACATGCATTGGTGCAATCCAGCTGCTCAGCTGCCAGGACTCAGGTGCCAGCAGCAGGGCACAGGGAAACCCAGACCATGAAGTGCCCATCCCTGCACACCCACAGAAATACTGTTTCTCATGCTGCCTTAGCAGCCACTTCCTGCTGCTACAACAAATAGCCAAGGACAGAATTGTACTGGGGTCGGGTCCAGGGTACAGGTTGTCACTCCGGGCACGGTCAGCCAGGTTACATCGAGATCTGCAGCGCTCACCACCCCCCCCCCCCC